GAGAGCAGAGGAGCCGGGCAGCCCTTGGCAGAGGCGATGGGTGGCCGCTGGGTCTGCGCTCCTAGCTCCGCACGCTGCTGCGGGGTGCCATTTAACGACACCCGGTTAATGAGGCGAGCCCTGGGGGGTGTCGTTCGCCCTGGTGGGACAGGAGGGCCATCTAAATCTGTCTGCCTTTACAGATCTACTCCGGGCCCCCCGAAGACACCACCGCCCCCCCGGTGCCTCCTCCCAGGGTGGCTGCGCGGCGGCACAAACCCATCACCATTTCCAAACGTCCCCTGAGGGAAAGACCCGTCTTCTTCGGTGCTTCTGTGGAAGAAAGTGGAGGTCAGTCCAGCTGCTCACTGGTGCCTTGCCTACCTCTCACCCCTCCTGCTGCCTCGAACACCTCTCCAGGAGCAGTGGAGATGACAGCAGCAGGGCTGCACTTCCCAGGCCAGGAAAGTGGCAGGCAGTGAGGTCTGTTGTTCGGTTAGAAAGGAAAGCAAAATAATACTCACATATAGGCTGCATCACCTCAAAACTCAAACTCTGTGGGGATTTCTTTTTTTCTGTCACCTGCAGCATTCTCCGTTAGCTAAGCTAAGACTGGAGTCTTGTCGTGCCGGAGCACATCAGCCCCGAGAGGGTCTGCAGGGCTGGCTCAGCCGCTGGCGGCTTTGCATCCAGAGCAAAAACACTGAACACTTTTTCAGGACCCAGTGACAGTATTTTCTAGACCAAGTACATCTCTGCAGTTAAATTCATTAGATTGTAAGGAAATGGTAAGGTCTTTATTGTCTTGTCAAAGGGCACATCAATTTAAAATCATGTTTCTCTCTGCACCCAGTGTGCTCTGTCATTGCAAGCTGTGCCCTAGATCACGTCATCACCGAAGAGGTGGAAAGTCGTCTTCTCTGTTGCAGCTTTCAGAGCTTTGATGATGTTTTAGGCTTAATACTACAGGTGTACTTTTTGGTACTGGCAAAGCACAACTTGATTCAAATCGCTGTTTAAAATCACAAGACCGCTCGTGTAGTTGGAGACGGCCTTGCGTTTGAGTGCTTCTCCGAGCTGGGAGCAGAAGCGTTAGCGCTTGGCTGCACCAAGGCTGCAGGGTGCAGTCGCCTCATGGCCGCGCTTCTGCGTCCCGTGCGTCAGTCTCTTGCACGGCAGGAGCAGTGAGGTGAATGCGTTTTGGAGGGACAGAAAAGCATGGTATGCAGCTTCTCATGAGCAAGAGTACTGGAAATTTAAAAGAAATCTGTAACTATATTCTGTTCTGCTTAGCGTTGTTTCAGTTTTCTTCATTCCTCAGCGTTTGCGTGAGCCCCTTGCTGTCTGCGTGTAGCCGCGAGTGAGGAGCTGTTGCTGCCAAAGCAGCCGTCTCCTCCAGGCCCCCGGCGAGCGTGCCGGTCTCTCTGCGGAGAGCTCTGCTCTCCGGCGGGGCGGACGCGATGGCTCGCGCTGCTTCCTAACCCCGTGGCTGTCTGTCCCTTGGCTCCGCAGCAGACTGGCACGGACAGACCCCCAACGGCAGCGGCAGCGTCGGCACGGAAGCCCC